CCCCAAAACCCCAAAACCCCAAAACCCCTATTTTAATTAAAATTATTGCAAATAAATAAAATATAGAACACGATTCGAATGGCATACAATTATAGATATGAGAATAGCAAAGAAGATGGATTTGGAGGCCAAGAAATGACGGATATTCCTAATATTAGATCAAGAATAAATTACGCTAAAGCAAAAACAATGAACGATTCAAGAAGCAATTCTCCTCCAAAATATACTAATGGTCTCAATTCAGAAATGCTTGCATCTGATGTAGTCAAATTAAATGAGCAAAAAGTGAGGGACAACATTATCTTTGCAAATAACTCTGGGAGCATTGGGCCATACTTAAAATTTGATAAGAAAAGTCCTTCTCCAAAAGTACCAAAGCTTGGTCCTCCTACTTCATCTTATAAGAATCATTACAGTCCAGAAAGGAGCTATGAGCCAATCAAAATGTCTCTCAATGAGTCTTTAGATTATAACAGAAGTTATAACAACTTATCTATGGGAATTCGCCACATCTCAAATGGTGATGCAATGTATAGAAGAGGAGCCTTAAGCAAATCCATTGATTTTGGACCTCCTTCTAAGACCAGATTTAAATATGCTAGAAACGCAAATCTTGACAAACCTGATGAGTTTAGGTTTAAATAAAAATTTGACTTCTAATGCAGATAGAATCTTAAATAAATCAATGGTGCCCAGCTATCCATCTACAAATGAACCAGCTAGGATGGACTTTTTGAAAAAGGAAGTCAGTACTTGCCCAGCCAGTCCAAAAATTCAAACTAAACCTTATTCTCCAGAACCTCCAAAGAATTCCTTCGCCAGAGAACCTCAATTTTGTAAGCCAGCCTTGAAAATTAATGAAACCATTTGGTACAGAGATCAGGTTATTCCTTGCGTAGCTCAATTAATAAATGCAGAATTTGTATAAAGTTAGGATATTAGAAATAAATTATTCCAGCAGCCCTATTATTTTTCCTGAATGTAGATTACTTCTCGATTGAACCATAATACTTTCTGTGTAAATAAAGAGACTTTCGCTACGAAAAATATCAAACTAATTTAAATCTAGCAACTGAACAAAATGAAATTAAGCCCCAAAGTCCGAATAATATAGTCAAACCTGTCTCTCCTGCTCCTAATCAATCATACCCTTCTGGTGATTTCGAGTCAGCTCAAAATAAAAAGCCAACGGGTATTTCACCAGCAGACTCAGCCAATTACACTCCTTCACTCAATGCTCAAATTCCTGAGACTCTCCCTAAATTTCAACCGGATCGCTCAGAGCCTAGTTTCAATGATCCTTCTTACCACAGACGCAAGAACTTTAATAACTACGGCTTCAATGCTATCACAGGAGTCAGAAAAGAAGCTGCATTCAGAGAACTTTAACAACCTAGGTTCTAAGCAGACTGGCTAATAATAAATATGATGCTTAAGAAAGCAATCATGTTGAATATAGCAATCAATTTTAGCGTAATAATAAGGGGTTTTGGGGTTTTGGGGTTTTGGGGA